GATGAGATGAGGAGTGCTCAAAGTACGAGAGCGTATGCGAACCTATGCGTTTGTTAGAATAACGAATAAATCTTACACTGAATCATTTTAAAGTATGAATCAAGACATTACGTAGCGAGTATTATGTCGCCTGTGCCCAGACTTCTATATTAATATTTAAATTAGATATCTTGATTCATTATATATAATGTCCCTATATACTTGCTTTAAAGTAATATGTATGTCTGTATTTTAAGGTAGGATGGTATAAAAATACTTTAAAGCTACATATACATGCCTTTGATTTCACTGTTGGCATAATAATTAAAATATTTACAGCAAAAAGGAGTCTGTTTCGAGTATGTATGAGTTTGTATATAATGTTTATCTAGTCTGAAAAGAATAACTTTTAAGTTTCTTATACCCACTTTTCTTATTCATAACTGCTTACCGAACGGTGTCCAAATTAAGTATAAATTAGTAACCATAGCGATTGCGATTTGTTTAAGGCTTATTAAATTAAACTTTACGACTGCTACATAAGGTTTAGTTTATTTCGCTTACGAACCACGAGTTTATCTGACGTTAAAGAGAATGACACGAGACTGATGGCTAAAATTATGCAAGAAATGCAGATAAATTGGTACAATTTCAGTTATTTAAACTTTTTGATGGTTTTTCGTTAAGCGAACTTTGTCTGTAGGCTCCATTTAGGTAAGATAATTTTCATAATAGAATACGCCTACGCAAGAAAATTTAGCGCGAACTCCGGAATTACTCGAAGATCTCCATTCGATCGGAAAGAACAATAGAAAATAGCTATTCGGCAGGTAATTGGGCTGGTAAAGATATTGGATTTTATGATACTTTATTATTATAAATATTTGTGTTCATGCCAACCTTTACCCGCGACTTCGTTCGCGTTAAAATATTGATTGACCAGAATAAAACATAAACAATTCCTTTTCGGTTGTACCTTTAAAGCACCAAGAGATAAACACTTTCACATTTATAATATTCGTAGTAAGAACAAGTTAAAACTATATTAATAAAACATGTCGAAAAATTTAAGAGAACTAAATTGTGTCAGGTAAAAACAAGTGAATACTGTAGGAAATATAAAGTACAATATAGAAATAAATAAGTTCTGTCAAAAAAGAAAACTAACAACAAATTTAATAATTTCCTATGAAAATATATATATATATATATATATATATATTTTATATTTTAAAATGTTAGTGATAGCAAAAAATCTATAAAGTATTATTGTTATATAACAATAGAACAAATTTGGGCAGACTAACACAGTTCTATCCAAATCAAGCAAGGCTCTGTTATGAATGACTTACCATATTGCTTGTACCATATGTTTTGATAAAAAAAAAGAATTTGTACTGGATTGGAATTAATAGTATCTATTCAAACATTGATTCATACATGGGTAGATGACAATGTGCAAATTTTTTATATACAATTTTTCTAAATCCATTATATTTCACAACTGTCACGACAGTACAATATAAAAAATTCTAAACATTGCCAAATGAATATTGATATATTGTGCCAATTTTCATGTGTATTTCATTCAAGTATTTACTATTTATAAATTATTTAGGTTTTACTATTTTAAATGTATAACAACTATACCAAAATTATTTGTGATAACTAAATAATAACCAACATATCACAAACATATTTAGAAAGCAGTGGATAGAAATAATAATGAACCATTGACTTAAGATTCAGGACAGTTCTCAGATTGAGACTTCACTTTTTAGTTATATAACTAAGTGACGAAACTATACTAGTCCAACAATACTACATCCCCTATGCAACAAGCCTATTAATTTGAAAGCTTATACAAAATTATATTATCTACCACAGAAGCAGCTTTTAAACTCCCTGATAATATGTTATAGTAATAATAATAATTTATATAGTTTTGTTATTGTAGTAGTAGTAGCATTAAATACACCAAAATAAAACTTTAGAAAAAAATACTTCATTTATTACAAAATTTCTGTGAGACAGACTGAGGAGTAAACTCTCAGAATTAAAATTAAAATAATTAATATAGATTCGAAATTGACAAAGATACTGTACAACATAAAAAGAAAAAATAAAAAAAAAAGACAGAAAGAAGAAATAAATGTAAAAAAAAACAACAATAATAACTCCTGTTACTTCTTGAAATTGAATGAAAAATATGATGGGATAGTTTATCCAATATTCAAAGTATGGATTTCATAACATTGTAATACTACTGGTGAGTGCAATTACTTATTTAAATAAATAATTAACTAAACCTTTTGGTTTCCTCACATGGAAATATCTGTTTGGATATAAACTAAATCTTAACTCATCCTTATGTATAATGCAATAAATGTAAAATACAAATAAATAAATATAACATTAGAATAAACAGTAATATAAAATAAACAATAGTAAAAAAAAGTATATAAGTAATAGGTAAAGACTAGTCATTACCAAACATTACTACAATAAGATATTATTAGTGTTTCCATTTCATATACCTATACTTTTACACCTATAATATCCTCATTATTTTTTACACAACAGTAAATTTAAAATGTGTTGCATTGTTAAATTATGCACATTCACTAAGATTTAATGATAAAGAACATGATTGTGAGGCTTTTATTATTCTAATTAAAGAAGTGGCAACAATATAATAACATCTGTGAGAAACCAAAATGTTATTACTGCACATCTTTTCAACCAATTTCAAAGAGGACATATATCTTCAATAATTGATGATTCTCTTTGCAATTAACTTGCTTTAGTTGAAAGGATGAGCAGCAGCATCCCTCTTACAACATCTCTGAAGCCTAACTGTGGTTGCCAATATGCCTATCAAACGTGGCAACTACTGGCAAATCCTCCCAAAACATAAGCATCCCCTTATGTTCCGCAGTGGACCATTAAGAGCTGATATCATGATGATAATTGTGCCATAAAAATATAAATGATTTTTGTTCGTTTTGTAGACCATAACAAGTTTAAATTATTAACAGTTAAACAGGACAGTTAAAGGATGATATGATGATGATAATGAATATTAAATTATACTGTTACCCAAGTCAGTTCATGTGAATGAATGACTGGGATATGTTTACTGGCTGGAATAAAAAGTACCCTATATCTTCTCCATCCCATTCAATATGTGTATATCAAATTCCATAGTGATTGGTTAAGCCATTAAGACACTAAGGGTTAACAAACAAACTCATACAATACTTATTTAATGTTCCGTTAAGAAGAATAGAGTTGGTTATACAAGCTCCCCTATCTCTTGCATTGACAACAACTACTTAATGACATTATGGGCCCCTATCTGCAGTTAATCATGTTTGCTTCAAATTGCTTAAGTTTCAGTGAAGATGATGTGAGTTATAACTTATTAGTATTATTCCTTTTAATTATAAATATGTGTTATTGTACTGATGCTTTCCTGGGTGACTGTAAAGCCCACCCAGTTGATAAAACCTTTTAAACCTTTACCTTAAAAAATTTTTGTAAGAAAATATAAGTTTATTATCTGAAGTAGTCTCAAAATTAACATTGTTGTACATATTTTGTTCCACCATAATACCACTAATAGTAGGTGAGGAAAGTATTGCTAATAATTAGTACCCTCTGGAAACCTTTTTGTCATGCAACTTAGAATGGCAAACAATTTGCAGGCCACCTGATGAAAAGTGGTAACTGTCATCTATAGACATGAGCAGTACCATGGATATAATAGAGTATACTGTTACACCCATGATACCCCCCATGCACTGCCATTCCCGAGGACTCAGGTGTTAATCCTCTATGCCCTGTAAATTCACTGCCAAACCCCACACTTTAAACCGAAACAGCCATGCAAACACAACTGCTTCACAGTAGAAACATGAATGGGAATTGTTGTTAATTCTTGTCAAATTCATCAAAGGTACAATATTTCTACGTTCACTCTCACTGATGGCCTGTAAGCATCTACCAGTTAGATTTTAACCAATGCTTAAGGTGCCCTTAAGCATTGGTTTAAATCTATTACTATAAAATTGGTATAACACTTATTGGTGTACACATAGTAAGGGATTGTGATAATCATAGGTTAGTTTTTTTTTTTCTGGTCATTCAGTATAAACCAGTCACATAGATAAAATCACAGATATATAAAAATTTCATTATAAATTTTCTATTATTTTTTTTAATTCTACTGATTCTCAGGCATATTTTGAGATGATTTAATTTTAGTATTATAAAATTATAATTCTTCTTGGTTCAAACTATATTCAAAGATATAATAACAAATGGTGATTAGAAGTACTTTTAATTAAATCAAATTTCTAATAAAAATAAATATTATCACTAACAGAGTACACAGAAGCATTGTCAATTGTCACAGTTAATAAGTAAAGTTTTTATTCAAAATATTTTGTTTTTAAAATAATATTATATATACAAACTTTAAAATATTTTTTATGCTTACTACTTGTATCTTGATAAATAATAGATGTCACACTGACACACACATAGGGCTCTCACATAATACAGTCTCCTATTATCATGTTACTTAAGAAGCATAATTTAAAGTAATATATGTTTTGTTAATTACACAAACTACTTGAGTAATAATAATGAAATGATGATTCAACAACAATTTAGTTTTGTTGTAGTTCTCATATAATTTTTAATATTCAAAGATAACTCCATGATGTACTGTCTAATAATATCAATATTATAAACAAATGCAATTATTGCATACTCATGCTTAAGGTGTTATTATCCAAAATTGCATTTTTATTTTTGACATTTCGAAACACTTCGCCATGTTAAACTGCCTACTTGTAGCGAATGTCATAGTTCACAAATGGTTTAAATTGATTATGTTTATAATATCAAATAAGTAAGAATCGTGCATTATTATTATCATTTTATGCAGACCATTAAATATTTAAAACACTGTTTAAATTATCAAAATAAAAAATGGCAGCAAGAGATCGCCTTACCTCAACTTCGCTGTTGCTAGCCGGATTTACAGGTTTAAGATCCGAATTGGGTTGTAAGTCATTAACCAGATTGTGTGCTTTCGAGTCTTCATTTATGATGTTTGTGGAACTTTTATCTGGGGCTTTTGGTTCCTTATCATACTCCGGCGGAGGAGCCATCTTGAAGGAGAGCAGTCAGATGACACAAGTCTTATGACTTTTACACACAAAGAACACTTTCTACCCCGTTTTGATGTTTATTTACACAATCTAACTATTGAAACATCGTGATTCATTAATTTAATTTCAATTTACCTAAAGTTCTAACAATTTGCAAAACCAAATTCATCATTTTCGACAGCTTCCGACTAACATTTTTAACGACTACATGCGTGCCCTCTAGTGGATTTGTCAATCAAATACGCTTGACAAAGACAAATGACATAACGAAAAGAAAGTAGGTAAGTATGAGAAAACCTGTGGAATTAAAGCTTCGTCAAAGATAGTGAATATATACTTATATAAAAAGCTGTGATTACACGAACACAAGTAACATTTTATTAATTGAAAGTTTTAATATACAAAAAAAAAAGTATATATATATATATATATATATATATATATATATATATATATATATATATATATATATATATATTAAAAAATTCAAATCGCTTTACAAATAACGGAGTTTTGAAGCGTTATAAAATAGAAAAAAAATACAATCCATTTAGGCATCGGTTCAGAATATTGGCTTATATTGGTACGTTTTTTGATCAACAAATAACTATAATATCTCCGTGCCATACATATTTTTAACTTGAAGAGAATTACTAGTGAGCTGTACTGTATACTCACATAAATATATATACCTGCACAGGATTATATCTCTACCAAATAGTTAAAAACTTGAGTCGTGCTTGTATCTATTGTTGCAAAACGTAGACGGACTGCCTGACTCAAGCAAGCTATTAGGATTTTATCATTGACCGTTTAAGTCCCTATAATAATAAAAAGAAAAAAGATTTGATTGACAGATGACAATTTGACATTCGATCGATTGGCAATTGTCATTACTATTTATTTCATATTTACTTACCTATGATTGTACCTATCATTGATTTTGTTGTATCTTAAATTATTCGCACTTATCGCGCAATAAAAAATAAATTAATACATTCTTTTATAATGACGGAGACAAAAGAGAATATTTTTCTTTTCGTACCTAATATAATTGGTTAGTAAAATTTATCACAATATAATTATGCTTCGTATAACTTTGTTTACATTTACATATTTTTCAGGATTCGCCCGAGTCATCTTGGCAATAATATCATTTTACTTTATGCCAACGAACTGTGTATTGGCCTGTACATGCTACATAACATCTGCTTTATTGGATGCCTTTGATGGTCATGCTGCAAGATATTTTAATCAAAGTAAGTGCTGTTGCTTTTCTAAGGTATCCTCTAATACTCTAATTGAATTTATCGTGAATATACTTTATGAAATGTATTATTATTTTAACTACTATGTTAGAATACTTGTAATTGATCTCAATAGTCACAGTACTATTTATTGTAATTTTTAAATTTATAGCTATAATGTTCAAAATATTTACAGACTGGAAATATAATGAAAGTACCCTGAACAATAACGCTTCTCATTATATCAGACCAGACCTTTCAAAAAAATAATCTTACCAATTTATTCTAATGTAAAATTGTAACTAGGCTCTCTGTACATGGAAAATATTTAACAAACAATATGAGAGTTTTAATATAACCAATAAAAGCCAAAACAATAATATTTAGAAATTTTGTCTGTCTGTATGTTTGTTCTGGTATTATGCCAAAACTGTTATTTATTTAATTTTGGTATGCCATCTATAAGTTATATATTTTATTGGTTTTTGTTTTTCTGAAATCTATATATACAAAGCAAAGAGTTAGTCTTAAGTATGCCATCTTGTATAATATATGGCTTACTATGTGTCAAGTTAAAATACCCATTATGAGTCTTACCCATTTTCTACTTCCACTCAAGATGAGTTTATCCCATTCCTCAACCTTCTTTTTTAAGGACTTTTTAAAATGTCTGAAACTTTAATTTTCTTTATTCCTTGTGTTTTATTGTTTTGTTTTTGCATACTCAATGGCATAGGTATATTATTGTTGATGTAAGTCTGACATATCATTCAAGGCCTGTATTTTTAGTTCTGATCCCCCTCTTATCAACTCATCCTCTTTTCATTACTTTTAATCCCTATACTAAAGTGAGTCTATTATGCCTACCCTAAAATATTTAAGTTTTGAATAGTATTTCATGCTTGTATCACAAGTGCTTTGTCAATTTTATTATATTAGTAAGATTATTGTTTTAAAAATTTTGTAACTGAGCTGAATAAGGATTGCATTATTTTGCAATTAATTATGTGCCAAATATTGTATATAGCCAGTTTATTATAAAAACAGTTTCAAAACAGCTATGATATTATTTTAATCTTTGGGCAGTTGTACACATTTTCTAAGTAACTGAATTTAAATAGTACCTATTATGATTTTATTGTATGTAAATGGATTGGTTTAATGTTAACAAAAACAACAATATAGGAGCTACTGAAGGATACATGTATTTAATTACCATATTCCACTTGGTATACTACAATGATATTTCCAATTTGATTGGTAAATAACCATTTTAGAATATTTTTTTACTATATTTATTCATATGTAAAGGCATTACCATCACTAATAAAAATTATGTACCTTCTTTTCTAATTCTTTATTTACTCTAAGTGTTTATTTTCCACACAAGTACAGCTGACAGGAACATTTCATGGATCTGAATCTGAAAAATCATACATATACAAAATATTAAACACAATAATCTTATAATCTAAACAGTTTAACTATTTTGTTTATACCATCACTTAATTTTTTCAATTACATAACTCAGAGACAACTAACCATTTGATTTATGTATACTGATAGTGCATGTGGGGATACCATTACATTTTTACCTTTAAAAACAAACTAATTGGCTTTAAAATGATCAAGATTTAAATATACTTTAGTTATAGACATTTCTGCTAAGGAGCCTCTTAGTTCACAGTTACTCTATAGGATGGCTACTCACATTTGTTTAATGTATATTTTTTCAGGTACAAAATTCGGCGCGATGTTGGATCAGCTGACCGACCGCGCTGGTACCGCTTGCCTCATGATGACGCTGGCCTCGTTCTATCCCCAGTACACATTCTGGTTCCAACTGTCACTTTCTATTGACATAACTTGCCACTGGTTGTACTTGCATACTAGTACACTTCAAGGAAAAACTTCCCACAAGTTCATAGATATGTCAGAGAACCCTGTAATGCATGTATACTACACCAACAAGACAGTATTATTCTGTATGTGCGCGGGCAACGAGGCGTTCTATGCAGCTCTCTATGTTATGTACTTCTACACAGGACCCACAGGTAATTCTATTTTTATTACATCTTTATTACACAACTGCCCAAAACCAGAATATAATGTTTTTTTATTTTATGAGTAAAAATAAAATAGTATACTACACCTACGCTATTGGTGTATACTAGTGATAGATGTGATGATGTGGGTGAGGATGAAAACAGATCATTTAGAACATTATTACAAATTCCACAATAATTATACCATTGTGGTTTCCAAGAGGAATTGTGTAGAGATCGATCATATACTATATTGCTAGCCATGGAACTCTTAGATCCGATAACTAACAATCTCTTTTGCTCCGAATATAATGTTTTCAGGGTTCATGTATGTGGGTTTCTTTATTTTATTTAATATTGGCAATTTTTTAAAAACTACGTTAATGGTGTTATAAAAAATATTTTTACCTGTCAATGAAACTTTAGATTTTGGCTTCGGTAATGGTTACGGCCTACCGCTTTCTCTCGAATTTATTTGTTTCGAAAGAATTTGTGCTATAAAGTTAAATATACAAGCATCTATATTGCATGATAATACGAGTATGATACAACACTTAATAGGTACCTAGTTATAAATATGAACGATATGAATGTCGACGTTTCGGGTAATAAACTCTTTACTTATATTCGTATTCATCTAATCTTATCAGTATAATTTTATTTTTACAGTTTTGGGTATCGGTTTATGGAAACTGATAGCTCTCGTCTCGATGCCTGTGGCTATAGTCAAGGCCGGTATATCAGTGCTGCATGGAATCGTCGCTTCCCTTAACTTGGCAACCATTGACGTCAACGAACGAGCTGCACTTGCTGAGAAACAAAAGAATTAAATTTGTTTGAGGTTTCATGGATATCTCTAGAACCTACAATTATAATTTTAAGGATAGTATCTCCAAAGGCTTGCACAGACGTGACGGTCCGCGAGGAATAAAAATTGCCCATTTTATTAGTTGCGGATTTGAGTTATCGATATATTAGATGATTCAACCAATAACTAATTAAGCTTTGCTAAATTAGCTTTAAAGGTTCAGAAGTAAAATATTATAAATATTTAAAAATTAAATATCAACAATAGTTTCTAGTTACATTATTCAATATGGTTGCTTCATACAAACTGAAAGATAGAACTGAACTCTGTAATATCTCCGTATGCAGTTCTTTTTTTTACGCAAAGAAATAAAAGATGGTATGTCTATTGTCTGTGTAGGCGAATCGTATTTGTTGTACGTATGTGTTATCCTACTATGTGTATTGTGTATATGCGTATGTGCACTTAGATAATGAATTATTAAAATGATATTATTGTTACAAGGCACTATAAAGCTAAATCCATAACGAGCATGATTTTTTCAATGGGTAACAATGGAATGATGACCCCGTCTGCTCTATCGGTATACGCTGGCGGAGCGCCAGTGGAAAATAAAAGCAAGTCAGTTGGCCCATCGTGATGAATTCATCAAGAATTAACCACGATCTATTTCAGAGAAGGTCTACCTAATATGGTATATTACTAACAATACATAAAAGACTTCCTACTCACTTTTCTAACGTGAGGTTGAATAACATTTTCTTGTTCACTTGATACCTATAGAGAAATTTATTTTTCTAGATGGCTCTTAGATGACCGACTATGATGCTTAGCCTAACAGCATGTTTTTGTTATTTTGTTGGATTTGCTCATTCTGGACTTGCTTTTAACTTGTCAATTTATCAATAATCTATTAGATTATTATAGTTTTATACTATGTTTAAACTTCCTTGTTTGGTGGCCAAATTATTGTAAAAACTAAGATAAATAAGCCAAATTTGACTTTTTTTTTATGGGTGATAATGGAATGGTAACACCCCATCCGCGCTATCGGTATACACCGGTGGGGCACCAGTGAAGGATGATAGGTGAGGATGAAGCAGGCCAGTTAGCCCATCGTGACGAATTCAACAAGAATTGTTCACGATGGTTTCCAGGTGGAACCACGTGGAGGTCGACCTGATAGGGCATATTGCTAGCAATGGGGCTGTCAAACTCCATTGCTAATAACCCCTTTCCCCCCGCCAAATTTGACTTTACCATGCATTCACTGAGACAATATCTACATTTGGATTTACTTATCTATGTACGTATTTTGACGCATACAGTAATTTTAAATATTTTTAATAAATATTAATGTTGTATATAAGAATGTAATAATCGTGCTTAGGAATTACTAAATAAGGATATTTTAGTTTAAGATAAAAAAAAAACCGGTGTCTATAATTGTAACAAAATTATTATGGGACCAACACAAGGGTAAAACTTATCACTTGCAAAATAATATATCAAAATTGGTTCAGATTTGACATAGACATCGCGTAATATAAAAAAAAAAAAAAACTATCGAATTTACATTCTCGTTTTAAGTTGCTTAATGATACATATATATATTTGTAATGTAATTGAGATTTTTAATCAATATAATACATGTTGGAGTCAGTCATCTAAAGGCGAACTGGGCGCCCGATCCAGATGTAAACCGGAGAGGGCGCCTCTATAGTAAAGAAATCAATGAAAATATTTTTGTTATTTCACATAAGTGTGGCTATATTTAGATCTTATTATGTTTTGTAATATGGCTCGCATTAAACTAAATGCATAATTTGAAACGCGTAAAACACTATCTACACTTTGCATCTGTCGTAGACATACAAAAAGCTGCACTAGTCTGCTATGTTGAGTCTTTAATACATAAAAGTATTGTAATTTGAAAGTTACTTGGATAATTAATAGTTTCTTATTATTAAAGAAAAAAATATCTCGAAAGAAAAAATCACAACCATTTGGGGTTTTTAGTATTATGGTGTTATTGTATTGTCTAGTCGTTCTTAATTGTGTATTTAAAGTAACATTTATTAATTGTATTATTCAGTATATAATGTAATACGAGCTATAATTTCCCATTTATTTTATATTGAGCTATTGAACAATGTGGTTATATGTAAGTTGATATTTAAGTGTAATCTCATGCTATAAAAAAGTGAACTTATTTTCAAGAAGTAAATATTAAGCTTCAATTAAAAAAAAATGGGGATAAGTTTTAAAGTGAGCATTTATTTTCCTGGTGGGGGGGGGGGGGGATTCTGACCAGTTAAAAGAGGCGCATATGTACTCTTAGACATGTCGGCGCATAGCTGAAAGTTCAGCTCGAATCTGTGAGTGGACATAATTCTGGAGAGAGCATGGCTCACCTGCCCCCTTCTCCCCCTTAAATACAACTATAGTCTTTATAGTTTTTATATGAGGATATTTATTTATGTTTTTAATTTATTAATTGCTATGCTATATTTTTTTTTATAAAATGCCATAGCAAATACAACACAAATATGTAGCAAATTTTGTTATAAACATTCCACATTACAGTTCATTAAAAATACATTCTGTCAAAATTATTTATAAGATGAACTCTTATATTATTAAACTTAGATGTGTATCTCTTGTGAACAAAGTAGGTTTATTTATTAGCGTTGGTTCCTACATTAGGTCATTTGATTCTAGACAAAATAATATATACTATTGTTATATTTTGTTGTGAATAAATTTAAGTATCGCACATGTACTTTCAATTTAAACAACCTACATATAATTAGTTCTAATTTAGGCTATTTTTATTAGAAAGTCAAACGTACACGTTCCTGCATGGACGATCAGCTTATACACTTTTCATATCATACTAACTTTACCGTACTAAGGAACACCGATGACAAATAATAATCGAAAAATCTCTGCTTTGGTTGAATATTGAGTGCAAGGTTCATCACAACTGCAAGTCTGCAAAAGCTTTAATGATTTTGAGTACGTTTTGTCTTAATAAAAAAAATAAATAAAAGGCTCGGGAGACTAGGGAACTGTCACAGGGTCGATTCCGATTTTTTATTTATCCTTGACTACGATTCATTAAGATTTCTACTACAATACTACTACTACAGATTTCTAGACTGGATAAAAATAGAAACACTAATATATTAGTACTTTTTTTTATTATTAAAACTATTAATGTTGTAAGTATTTCACCACATACATTGTGATATTAAAAGTTATAATGCAAAGTTGCAACATTAAAGTGAAGACAGAATTAATGCATAATACTTATAAAATCAAGCATATTTTTTTAATTCATAATGGAACGTATTATAAAATTATCCTTTGAGGCTGCTCATGCCCGCTCTCATAATTTCATCAACTAGAAGAAGATTGCTAGCTATCACGGAACAAGAATTAAGAATCTGCTTCTTTACAATATAATTGTCAATTATACCAACATCTGTTGGTTTTATTGCCTCACCGGTGCTCAAATCTAGGCCAATGGGGTCAGGATTCAAGCGAGCTTCTTCTTGAAGCTTAACAATAGTATCCTGAGCATCATAGCCAGAGTTGACAGAAAGAGTTTTGGGTATAACCAACAAGGCTTCAGCGTAAGCCTGGATACCCAAACGGGCTTTTCCTTTAACAGTGTCTTTATATTTCTGCAGCTCCATATTAGCTTTGATCTCAAAGGCGCCAGCGCCGGGTATCACGCACTTGTCTTCGATTGCGTTGTTTATTGCCCGAAGGCCATCGCGAACGGCATCCTTAATTTGAGTAAGGGTGTGCTTATTAGGGCCTTTAATTAGAATTGTTACAGAAAGTGGATTCTTGCACTGTTCAACAAATGTGAATTTATCCTCTCCAAGTATATGCTCATAGACCAGACCGGCATAACCCAAGCTTTCTTCATTAAGATCTTCTACTGAATTCATGGCAACACCACCACATGCCAAAGCGAGACGCTCCATATTACGCCTCTTGGCGCGCCGCAGAGCCATGATGCCTTCCTTAGCAAAAGCATCTAAGGAAAGTGGGTCAATGCCCTTTTGATTTATGACAACAAATGTTTTGTCAGTACCATCACACAATTTCTTCTTCAAAGCAATAATCTGTAAAATAAAAATACAAAAACTTTAATAGACTACTACAAAAAGTTAAACTTGTTATAGACACAAAGCATGTCTAATGTTTCTTTAGGATTAAAAAAAAAGTTTATATCATTAAAAATAAAAGGTGTTTAAAGTCACCAGAGGGAGACTGTACAAAAGTCGATTGCTGAGGTACCTCTGTCCTATTAATGTTTCTACCGTGAAGCAGTTGTGTTTGCATGGCTGTGTTTCAGTTTGAAGGGTGGGATATGGCGTGAATTTACAGGGTACAGAGAAACAACGTCAGAGTCCTCAGGAATGGCAACGCATGTGGGATATCATGGGCGAAACAATATACTCTATTATGTCCATGGTACTGCTCATGTCTATAGGCGACGGTTACCACTTTTCATCAGGTGGACCATCAGCTTGTTTGCCATTCTAAGTTGTATAAAAAAAGTAATAAATTTAAACTACCATAGATTATTAACTCCTTACTTTCTTAACACGCTGGTCAATAAATTCCCTCTCAGCTGCAACAAGTTTCTCCCTGTCTTCAGCTGATTTGTAGAAGAAACCAGAGTTAACTTCTGTCTTCTCATATTCAAGAGAAACATTGCAAGTAAGGATGTATGCATTTTCTACGCGTTTTGGCATATCTGGGTGTCGGCCTCCATGATCTAGTACCAAGCCTGCAATGGAAAAAATATTAATATAATCAATATTGACATGTGTGTGTGTGTGTGTGTAAAAATATATATTTTACAATGTGCAATAGAAATACTACTGTAAATTGAAATTAACAACAGTATTTATAAAAATTAATATTTTTTACTAAACTTGTTTTCTTAAGGATCTAAATAGAAAGTGATATCCCTTCCATTACATCTTAGAAAATTTATTCACCTCGAATAAGTGTAGTCTCTGTAGAAGTCTTATGCTGCATCTCCATTAGTTCAACCATATGCAAGTCGACAGGTTTATCTGGGGTGCGAATTGCAAGAACTGCATCCACACATGCATCAGTAAGCACATTCGCCAAACTTGGGTGTACCTTAAACATGAACATTTTTATAAATACAAGAATTAATTAATAAAATTCTCCTACAAGACCATTAGGTATTCTGATTAGACAATGTCTCCATATTTGATAATTTTCAAAACAATAATTTATTTTAGTTTTTGATTACCTTTGTTTTCAAGGATGTTCGAGCTACGTCAAGTAAATTCTCACGTTTAATGTCAATGGGTATTTTCATAGATTCCAAAATTTCCAGTGCTTTGGATCGGGCTACATCATAGCCTTCAGTGATAATTCTGGGATGTAAACCTGAATGTAAAGAATTTTATATATTAAAAAAAAAAAAAACGGTTTGCTTTAATTACATGCTGTATAATCAACTTCCATCTGTAATTCAATACTGATATTAATATTTTGTGTTCGCCTTTTATTGAACAACTTTGAATAGAATAATTACCTAAGTCATTGAATTATCAAACATAAAATTATAGAATTAAAAAAAAAAAACTAATTTTATTTATTCTTTTTTTTATAATAAGTTAAATATAAATAGAAAAAAAATTTAATAAAGATATTTTACCAAATAGTTAAAATTAATAGTGTTTAATTACTTTAATAGCATAACTGTTATAATTAAGTATAATATAAATATAGTTCTATTATAATTAAGCAAAAAATTTGCTTGGTACCTTCACTAATATAAATGTCAGCTTGCTTCAACAACTCTCCAATCAGTAAGACTGTAGATGTAGTACCATCACCAGTGGCATCATCTTGAGCTGTGGAAGCGCGTGCAATGAGTGATGCAGTGGGATGTTGAATTTGCATCTCATGTAACAACACATTCCCATCTTTTGTTATTTTTATATCACCTGCACCGGACACTAACCTGTTTAATGATAAAATTACAAAATTTAAATTAGTCTTTCACAACTTGAAAAGATAAAAGTTAACGGTAAGCAAATCAAAAGTGCAAACATTACACAGCAAATCAAATTACATGCTTTCCCACGTCGTTTTTTCAAAATAAGTAGCTAAATTATGTGGTAATGTACAATTTATAAAATCGATGTCATAGGTGGACAAGCTGTCACATGGTTTTTATATTGAAATTATAAAGATTATTAAAACATAAAAAATAAAAATTAATTTTACGATAGAAATTAAATGATACAAAAACAGTTATTTCATACTGATTCTTATATAAATATTTGTAAAAAAATTAATACTTACATTTTCATTGTGCCTTTCGGACCGAGGTTAGTTTTCATTACATCTTGGATTCCTTTTGCTGCAGATATATTTACAGCTAACGCTTGTGCAGCTCTAGCAAATTCAGCTTTAGGGTTTAGTAAACTAATTGCAGCCATATCGAAAAATATTTAAGAAATATATAAATTTATTGAAACTAGAGAAGTCTACAAATAAAAGGACAAAATTTCCCGAGCTAAAAGTTAGTTCCAGAATCAGTATCACAGATTAGTTGAGAGTGTATGTCTAAGATCAGTAAAAAATTACAGAGACTGTCAAAGTTACTCTGTAACGTTATACACCGACATAGATATAACAAAATATTTGCGTTTTTATTTCTATTACAAAACTAGGGTAATCTCTACAAGAAATATTTTACGTATGGTTGTTTCATTATTTTATGATTATTATGGTTGTGCAAATGCAAATGCACGCAATTGCTAACAATAAGAAGTAGTCTTTAAACTGACTTTTTAAAGTTTGCGCGATGTGTGTCAAATAGTGTAATTTACGAATTACTTATATGGATCACAAACTAAATATTAAAATTAATTCTGTGCCGCCAGTTCTTAAAACTTATTTGTTTTATGCACCATCATAAATTAAATATGTGATAATTTTGACTTAAATCTATTAGAAATTTAATTTAAATTGGTTCTTAAACTAAATACATTGCTGTTGTATAAAATTAAAATTTTGTAAATTAAAGATAAGGTTAGAAAAAATGGCGTTACAAAATTAACTCTAGTGGATATAATCACGGGTACTATCCTTAATCTATGGTAAAGCCAAATATGACATTTGACTTATCTTTTCTGTCATACCAGTGGTGTCAGAAGATTATATGACATGATTACATGTACATACCTACCTATCCAATCCACATATGGAGAACAAAAATAAGTTTCTATTTTGGCCCGTAAATATGAGAAGAAGCCCCGAGAGTTTACTAGAACATTCAAGCGTCCTATAAAAGCACAGTTGGTCCCAATTTTTGTCTGAATCCGGAAGAAATAAAAAAAAAAATGGGTGTTCATAAGGAAGAAGCGGAAACATATAAGAATAAAGGCAACGATGCTTTTAAACTGGATAAATATGAAGATGCGATATCGTTCTATTCAAAAGCTATTAATCTCGCAGAAAAGGATAGTCGAGATATGGCCACATACTTGAAGAATCGTGCTGCTGCCTATTTGAAGACCAATGAGTACAGTAAAGTTATTCAAGACTGTGATGAAGCATTGAAGATTGTACCCGAAGATCCAAAAGCCTTATTTCGACGTTCGCAAGCTTTGGAGAATTTACAGAGATACGAGGAAGCTTACAGAGATGCAAAAACCATATTTACTGTAGATCCAACAAATAAAGCTGTACAACCAATTTTGTCACGTTTGCATGCCATAGTGCAAGAACGCGCTCGACAAAACGCCCAAACGAGTAATAAAGTGGAACAAATGTTCAAGTTGGCCTTTAATTTTAATGAAGACAAAGAAAAACGGGAAAAAGCCATAGGTAACCTTTTAGTGCTTGCAAAAGAAAACTCTGGTGCAGATATTATGTTGAAAAATGGTATCGTACATAAAATACAACAACTGTTAAAGGTAGAGAAAAACACTGATATATATTGCAATGCTGTTAGAATTGTTAGTCAGTTGTGTAAAAGAAATATTGATAGAACAAAAAATATTATTAAAATTGTCGGTATTCCATGGTTTTTGGAAATCATTGACAGTGATATTGAAGAAAGGGTGAATGTGGCACAGTATTGTATTCAAGTCATATTAAATTCATTCTCTGGAATGGATAATAAAAAAGATACAAAACCTGATGCAAAACTTTGTGAAGAAAATAAAAATGAAATAGAAATACTTCTCAGTTGTTTAACTTACTCTATTACAAATGCAGTTATAACTGGTCAAGCAAGAGATGCAATTATGGAACTCATAATGAGAAACTGTCATTACAATGCTATCAACTGGGCAGAGAGGTTTGTAGAAATCAAAGGACTGCATAGGTTACTAGAAGTATGTAGTGAACTGGAAGAATATAAATATGAGTCTGCAATGAATATCACTCCATCTTCAAGAACTATTGCAGCCGCTTGCCTAGCCAGAATATATGAAAATATGTATTATGATCAAGCAAGAGAACGATTCAACAATCAAGTGGATGAATTTGTTAAGGACAAATTAATGTCACCTGATCTTGAGTCTAAAGTAAGAGTTACAGTGGCCATTACATCATTGTTACGTGGACCACTTGATGTTGGAAATTATGTGATTTCCAAGGAAGGCATTCTAGAGATGATATTAGTCATGGCACAAACTGATGACCCTTTACAACAGAAGGTGGCATGTGAATGCATAATTGCTGCAGCTTCTAAGAAAGACAAAGCTAGAACAATCATCAACAAAGGTGTAGATATTTTAAAAAAATTATATCAGTGCAAAAATGATGCAGTAAGAGTCAGAGCTCTAGTTGGTCTTTGCAAAGTTGGCAGTTTTGGAGGTGATGATGCCTCTATTAGACCATTTGCTGATGGTTCTACAAAGAAGCTGGCTGAGGCTTGTAGAAAATTTTTGATAAATCCAGCAAAAGACAATGATGTAAGAAAATGGGCTGCTGAAGGCTTGTCTTATTTGACCTTAGATGCAGATGTTAAAGAAGCATTAGTTGAAGATAAAGCAGCTCTTCAAGCTCTTATTGAACTAGCAAAAACTGGTGATCAATCTTGTTTATATGGTGTTGTTACTACATTAGTCAATTTATGTAATGCCTATGACAAACAAGAAGTGATACCAGAAATGTTAGAGCTAGCAAAATTTGCTAAACATCATATACCTGAAGAACATGAATTAGATGATCCTGATTTTGTTAATAAAAGAATTACAGTTCTTGCCAAGGCTGGTGTCACAACAGGGTTAGTAGCACTCTCTAAAACAAAAAGTGACAATTCTAGAGAACTGATTGCTAGAGTTTTCAATAGTATTTGCAGCCTACAAGAGTTAAGAGGTATAGTAGTCCAACAAGGAGGAACAAAAGTATTAATACCATTATCTTTGGAAGGTACTCTCAAAGGGAAAAAACAGGCCGCTCAAGCCCTGGCTAGAATTGGGATAACAATGAATCCAGAAGTTGCATACCCAGGTCAAAGGAATTTAGAAGTTGTCAGGCCATTATTGGCACTTCTGCATCCAGATTGTAGTGCTCTTGAAAATTTTGAGGCTATGATGGCTTTGTGTAACTTGGCTGGAATGAATGAGACTACTAGAAATAGAATTCTCAAAGAAGGAGGTTTATCTAAAATTGAGCATTACTTATATGAAGATCACACTATGTTGCTTAGGGCAGCCACACAGTGTGTATGCAATTTAGTTTTATCTGAAGATGTAATAAAAACATATGAAGGTAATAATGACAAAACTAAGTTTTTATATCTCTTGTGCCAAGAAGAGGATTTTGATACAGTAATGGCTGCTGCAGGAGCTTTATGTACTTTGACTTCAGTCAGCAAAATTTGTTGCAGAAAATTGTTGGATTTACAGCCTTGGTTAGAAACATTAAGATGCCTTCTTGCAAATCCAGATAAAGAAATACAATACAGAGGTACTTATATATTATTTAATATTATAAATGGAGATAAGGACATTGCATTTAAAATATTTGAAACTGATGTAATGGAGATATTAATGGCTTTGACTAAGCTTGAGGAACCTGAACAAAAGAGAACCAAGGAACTTGCTCAGAAGTGTTTGAATGCTGCTGAAGAAATGGGTGTTATACGGAAGCCTGATGAAACACCAATGATGGATCCATTTGCAGAAGTTGATAATGAACATTAAGATATGTAATATGTATTATTAGAATGTGTAATTTAATATTTATTTATTTTCAAAAACTTACATTTATTTATATTAAAATGTTTTTAATAAACAATTCTTTTTTCATTTATGTACCAGATTCTATCATAATGAAACTAAAATTAGGTAAGTATTAGATATTTATGTTGTAAAATTTACTATGAAATGCAATTTCTTCTAATTATGAAATTAATATCTATGTCTTGATATTCTATTAAATGTAATGTCGCATAAACAAATAGTTGCCCTAAAAGGGAAATTATTAAAAAAACTACTAAGGAAAATATCTATATTATCTCGAATCTATAAAAAATGAATTAATGTTAAACTTTTCATTTATGCTGATCCTATTACTATTAAAAACACGAAAGTTTGTGAGGATGGATGGAAATTTGTTATCTACTGTTTCACGAGAACAATATTATTTTAATAAAGTTTGATTCACGGATAAATTATATTTTAATATAGGATACTTTATATTCATTCATGCGGGCGACTTAGCGGGAAAATAGTTTTAATTTGACTCGTATCTATTCAAACTGGTTGATAAAATAATAAAACTATTATTTACTAAAACATTTTAAGAGTAGCTTATTAAAAGTTGAAACCAATTCTGAGGCACCATTTCTCTATTTCTAAAATTAAAGTTTCAATTTGACATCATAGTGAAATCTTGATTGTAAGGGCCAATATAATTTTCTAATAGATTTAAATCGAGATTATTATAACTTTAGTTTATGACTGTTATGGACATATATAACAGTAATTTTGTCAATTTATCAAATTATAAAAATTAAATTAAGAGATAGATTTAGAAAAATCGCGTCTCAGAATTGGCTCGGTGTCTCTACCCAGTGATTGAAGTTATGATTTTGGACATAGAGTACAGAATCAATATCATTAAATAATATAATATAAAATATATAAAAAAATTAAGTAAACAATTTTAAAAATTGAACTTTTTTGGTAAAATAAATTCTAAATATAATAAAGTCATGGGTAAGTCGGTATGTTTATTTTCTCTAATCACAAAAAGGAAATTCAAATTTAGCGCTTTTTTTATTCCAATCTTTCCATAATGGAATACCGCGTCCTTCCCCCTCCGTATTCCCACCTATTCCTACCATTTTTAAGTAAAGGTACTTTATGATGCACAGTCATTCTTATATAGTTTCATATTATTTTGAATATATAATTTAACAAATAAACATTGAAATTATTAATTCTGCATTAAGTTTTTAATATTAAGATATGATTAACAAACATTTAAAAGATATAAAGATAATTATCTTGTTTAAAATTTGAAATCGTGTCCGTTCGTAAATGAATTTCGGAACGAGACAAACTAAAAACCTTTTAAATGACAGCTTGATTTGGTTTGGTTTCCGCTACTGTACTATTGTGCTATTTTTCGGTTTTTGATACGAAATTCGCGAGGAAATGTCGATTTCAACAGCTACAGGTACACATTTAATCTTAATACACGTTTATTTATATAAATCTGACTTGGAAAAGTAGTGTTAACTATCAAACCTGATAGATTAGGGTTTTCGGAGAAATGCCATGGAATCCCATATGGCGGTCCACACACCACATAATATAACGACGCTATTCGATGAAGTGGATTATAATTCTCATATGATCAATTCATAAATTAGTAGTTTGATGTTAAATTATAGGTTAAACCCACTGTTGTATTATGTTTAGGTTACTTTGATTATCCAGTTTTTTCTGGATAGTCTGGCGTCCCTTCGAGTTGAGAACACTGATCTCTTACGAGTGAAGTTTATACCTAGTTACTGCTTTGTTGCAATGTATCTCAGTCACATAATTGTGCCCAGATAAACTTCTGTAAAAACTGAGTTTATTTGTATATTTTATTTTTTACTCATTATTTATCAACTTATTTTTTTAGAACATTACTTTGTTTACTTCACAGACGAGCGCACAGAAGGTGATGATGACACATCACAAGGAAGTCAGCCAAAAGATGAGAGTAGTGAGTCAGAGAATGAAATAGAAAATGAAAATGAACCCCAGAGCCAAAATGGGGGTTCCCCAAGCCCAGAAGTACATGAAATTACTAGTGATGATGAAGATGATTGTGTTGTGTCCAATGAAGATGAATCATCTAATTCTAGTACTGATACCAATGGGAGTTCAGAGGAATCACAACATAGTAATAAACAAATGGAAAAGGTAAAAAATGAAGAACAGCTTGAAAATGGTGAAGAAGAGAGTGACATTGAGGAAGTTTCGATGGAGGATCCTTTAAATCAAAGTCAAAGTAAGAACAAACCAATAGTAGTGAGTGACACCAAAAGCTTGGTAGACCTAGCTTCAAAACAACAAAAATCAAATGGTGATCAAAATAAGGAGCCAACTGTTGTAATTATTGACACAAACACGATACTTTCCGGAAAGTCCACAATGCCTTCTACAATACAAACTAAAACATCTACCAGTGCATTAGACGCTCACAACTTGTGTCAAAGCATTGCTGCCCGTGGCACTACAATAACTCCAGTAAGCTGCAAAACTACAGCTTCTACTCAGCAGAGCAATGCACCTACGCCCCAACCAAACATCTTACCATCTTTAACAGATGACATGTTTGTTGTTGAAGCACCTTCTTTTATAGTTCCCTATGTATATGAAAAGCCATCTGTAAAGCCCTTCAGGGAATTTGTTGATAAATTAGGGAAAGAACTTGAGGAAATTAAAATTAAGGAAGAACAAGAAAAGTTAGAAAAGGATAAAATGGAAAAAGAGAGAAAGGAAAAAGAAAGACAAGAGAGAATTTCAAGAGGTGAAGATGTTGAAAAAGAGCTTGCGAGTGAAGACATGTTAGATGAAAAGAAAAAGTCTGAGGATGAGGCATTGAAGGAAAAGAGAGCTGAGAAAAGACGACGGAGACGCCTAAATGATGAGGATGATGCATCATGGGATGGCGAGTCTAGTTCTGAGTCAGATGAAGATGGTGCAAGTGATGATGATATGGTTGTTATTAAAGACAAAGATGATACTACTATTGATGAGTTCAAGGACTCTATGAATTTATTTCCTAAGAGTGTATCTGGAAAATCTGATAGTTATTTTGATTGTTCTTTAGGTCAATTTTTTATTAATATTGGGTTGAATTTGGTACAAGAATTTGTTCAGAGTGATCTCTTGAAGCAACAGAATCGTAAATTGTACAAAGAAAAGAAATCTGGTCGTAGCACAAAAGCCACAGAGTTGGCTATTGCTTCTTTAACACAGAATTATGAGTTCAGTAAGAAGACAAATGCTCCTTATTCTTTACAAATGAAAAAATGTGAGTTTTGTAGTTTTAAAACTGAGTCAATGTTGGTTATGAGCCACCACTTGGAAGCACCTCACATGCGAAATAATATTTACAAATGTAATACATGTGCATTTGAAATTCGTAGCCCTCACGACATCTTGTTTCATATGGAAGCTGAGCACAATATTAGAGGCAGATTGGAAAGGGCACCAGCATACCAACAATGTGCTAATTGTCACTTTGAAGACAATAGCAAAACTAAATTAGCAAGACATCTTATTGCATGTGCTAAGAAATTTAAACCAGAATTTAACTTGGGGCCCCCATTAGAATGGGAACCTCCAGCAAAAATACCAAAGCTTTCAAGAGCTCGGAACAATATGATGAGCCCCTATCAGTCGAACTTTAATCGATCTCAGATAAATCTGAATAATATGGGTCGGCCACCATTGAATGTGCCCAATGTAATACCAGGTATGGCCATACTAGGCCGGCCACGTGGTCGCCCACCCATGGCAACACCACGACCTACAGCTGTGTCTGGTGTTCCCATCATACGTAGTGGTCTTATGATCATGCATAATAATCCACCAGCTGGTACAACTATTTCCAATTATCCTATCATCCAAAATAATCAAGGTAATAATAATACATCTGCCACACCCAAGATATCTATAACCCCCCTGCCCCGTGCACCCCAACCCTCATCTTCACAGACTCCACAAAATTCTAAGGCTGCCTTTGTTATTTGTGAAATATGTGATGGGTATATAAAGGATTTAGAGCAGCTGAGAAATCACATGCAATGGATACATAAAGTTAAAATTCATCCCAAAATGATTTACAACAGACCTCCATTAAATTGTCAGAAATGTCAGTTCCGGTTCTTCACTGATCAAGGACTTGAGAGGCATCTTTTGGGCTCTCATGGTTTAGTGACAAGCTCTATGCAGGAAGCGGCGAATAAAGGTAAAGACGCCGGTAGATGCCCAGTATGTGGCAGAGTGTATCAATGGAAGCTACTCAACCATGTGTCCAGAGACCACAACATGACACTGAAGCCAGCACATCTCTCGTACAAGTGTACAGTGTGCACTGCTACATTTGGAATGTACAAACAGTTTGAGAACCATGTATATTCTGCACATAGCGTGGTTGCGAAACGTGTTATGGATAAGACTAAAACTAGTATTCCGCCAAAGGCGACCGATGCCGAGCCCTTGCTCAAGCCATTAAAAATCAGTGATGAAATTACAATCATACCGCAGCCAGCTAAATCCAACGTGACGATCACTGCGAAAGGTAAATAACGTTAATATTGAGGGAGTGTGCGACGCTCAGGCGATAAGCGCGCGCATGACACCGGCCAGCCTGCTTTACGAAGGAATGCACTTCGGTAAATCGAGCAGTATTGTGTAAATAAAGCTAACTTGTAACACTTATTTAAGATATCGATGTTGAAAGGAGGAGATATAGTGACAATGTAGTAATTGTGGATGTTATTTTTAATAAAAACAAATTACAGTATAGCTTAAGTTGTAAATTCAATGTATAAATTACATAGATATCCAACAAATTGTGTATTTTGTGAGAATTCCATTGTAGGTTTCCCCCACTTTGTATCGTGCTCGCCTCGCAGCTTGCGCACTGAATTTTGTTTGAACGTCACAAAAGTATTGAAGTTAATGATCTGTAATCTGTGTCTTCACTGTATATTAGTAAGCGTACAAGTGATGTGTGCTGTGAATGCGCAAGTTGCACCTTTATTTTCCTAATACTTGTTAGACTTATTTATTTGCAAAATTGCTAATAATTATTAAAATAATTATATATTGCCTAACTTTTTTAATTTAAATCATATAGTTAATAACCTGTGTTTTTAAATAATTGTAACATATAATTTAGGTAGTATCTTTCCATTTGTGTATGTATAATAAATCAACTATGATTATCATAGATTAGTAAAGTAAGATATTAAGTTAAAACTTAGGATATAATCTTAATTATTATTAAATTATCTCAAATGGAATATATTGTCCTTTAAATTATCCCATAGAATATGGACAGTGTTTTCAAGCAACTTTTAAAAAAGGAGGTTCTCAATTCAGTTGTATTTTTTATTTTATTTTTTTAATATTTATTACCTCAGAAATTTGTAAACTGATTTGGAAAAATATTTTTTTATCTGAAAGAATACACTATCAGATTAGTTCCATAAAAATTTCATCAAATACGGTTCAGTAGTTTGAATTTTAAATTGACTGGTTTTGCTGCAATTGAGGTCAGTTTTTTTTTGTACAACAGAATCTATTATTAGTAAACATGTAAAACTGACATCAATCTTAATTCTATCTGATCTCGGGTCAACAGACTAATGTTGATTTGGTAAAGATTTACTAAATTGTTAATGTACTTATAGAACTGAATATAATGTATTTTTTTTATTTAATAAAAAATACCATTGTAACGATTTTTATTTTGTTTTATTGATAAACGTGCTTTTATCATTATATAATCAATAACTTTGTTTGAAAAGTGGTAAAAATGATCGTATATAATATTTAAATATTGTTTACACTTTTCACCAGAATCTGGCATACATAATTCATTTAATTGTGCTATGCTACGAACATAAAACAAAACCGAATGTCATATATTTACTTATATCGTCATATATATGTCAACATATTTACTTATTAATAATAAGTTATACAGATTACAAATAACAGTCAATTAGTTGAGTCACATATTTAAGCTTTAAAATTATTAATATATTCATTAATTAAGTAAAAACATTTTCCTATTAGCCACCTTTTTAGTTTCTTTATCATGCATAATTACCCGCATGATTACCCCTGTTTCTCTTATTCTTTATTTTATAACCACCATCTAGGCTGTGGCACCAGAGTGAAATTATAGAGTACTATATCTCAAGTTCACAAGGGTTGACAAAACATTCGTCTCTATTGTTGCAAGCATGTCCTCATGGGTTGCGGTGTTATTTACAATCAGGCAAATTTAATGCTTGACTAACATTCTGTATTGTATTATTACATAGTATTCTTGTATAATAGTAAAAAAACTATATACAGCTTACTATTTTATCTGGTGTGATCCCGACATAGAATAGGCCAATCTTTCCTTTCCCGTGGGTGTCGTAAGAGGCAACTAAGGGAGGGCGAGGGATCGGCAGTAAAGTCCCTCTCAAAACGTCTCCAAATCCTAATTGCGATTGTCAATCCGCCTGCCAATCGTGACAACTACTGGCAAAACCCCCAAGGGGAGGCTTATGTTCGGCAGTGAATAGTTAAAGGCTGATAAAATGATGATGATTGTATCTGGTATCTATTTATATAAACTTTTATATATATTTAAAAAAAAATTAACAAATATTCTATGATCTACATTATACTTCACCAAAGCTTAACTGTAGAACTTAATGAAAATGTGAACAAGCTAATGAATTGCACGAGGTAGAAACTTTGCGTAAAATATATCAAGAAACCCGTACCAAAATTAAAAATCCGTTGCAAGGTTTAAAATAAGTATGTGGAGAAACAGACGCGATTGCGACCTTGTTTTAAAGGCGTCACATACGATGAAAATCCATCTTAATGTATCAGATACGTAAGAATCTTTTCACTCTCTAAGTATCGCGCGTACATTTGTGTTTTAATTCTATACTTATATCCAACCATCAGAAGATGAGGTGATATAAAACCATCTAGGCTACTTATCTCCGACAGTACAATTGTCTCCGGTTACCGCTATCTCCGCACCCACCCCCGCCCGCACCGATATCATTACAGGCTATACGAGCTAATGACAACAGGTCTTCTTAACATCTTAGAGTAGACGGTTAGGTAGGGACCTCAGGATGAACCCCACTATCCCGGCTTCAACTCCGGAGGCAGCTACCAACAGGTCACTGGGTTCAAATTCGTTTAACGGGGTGGCATCTTTGTTTATTATTGATGTTGTGGTATAGGGGTCCTTTTGTATTTCATTTAGTACATTTTTTATTTATAATATATATTCTTTTTTTGTATTATTCTCTCTCTATCTTATCCCCAATAAACATATATAAGATGGTGTTAGTAATAAATATTGTGTTTAGAGACTGCCACAAGTAGTGTGACGGCCCTTTCCTTATTTAGGCGACATACACAGTGGGGACGGAAAAAGAGGGAAAGAGACAGGACAATGGGAAAATAGGAATAGTCGTATCTGGACGAGTCGTATCGCTCTTAGCCCGTGCTTAGGAGATCCCTAGGCTTGGGACAGCCGTCCAATGGATACGAGCTGCAACTTGCAGTGCAAAGTGAGACGCTGTGACGCAAAGCGCCGGGGGGAAAGGAATTGTCAGTTGGAGACTGAGAATTCCATTGCTAGCAATATACCCAACCAGGTCGACCTCCTCGCGGTTCTCCCTAGAAATTATCATGGTTAATTCGTAATGAATTCATCATGATGGGCTAACCGGCCTGTTTTCATTCTCATCTATTACCCTTCACTGGTGCTCCGCCAGCGTATCCCGTTAGCGCAGGCGGGGTTACCATACCATTTTCACTCATAAAAAAAGACGAAAAGCGCCAAACGCCCCCTGTAGAAGAATTCCGGATGAAATAAAAACAATTGCCGGAAACGGCAAAACACAGTAAGTTCGTTAATTTTTCGTTATATAAGGAATGAATATAAGTGTTGAAAATAAAAATTACATGAAACTTTTTATAATGGTTTTATTTAAAGTGGATGTTTTTGAAGAGTATAAATTTTTTAAATGAATTTCACTAAAAAAATTACATTCTTAAATACGGTTATATTTAAAAAAAAACTAGCTATTTTCTACGGCTTCGTCCACGTTTATTGGTATATAAAATAACTAATGTATTAATTTATATTTTAGATATAACTACATTTATTCAAATCCGTTAAGCTATTTAAGCATGATTGAATGACAAACATACTGCAACGAATACTGCATGAATGAGTATAAACATATGCTGTGATAGGTATGTGATTTTGTAAAAAGGATAGTTATTAAAATTCTTTGCTTTTCGATATAAATGTCGTTTTCATTGACTTCAAAATTTAAAAAGTGGGCATAGATTTTAATATTTATATAACTTGTCTTATGGCAACCCTTAGATAGTTGTCCGCAAATCAAAAGATCTTTCCTTCTAGTTATTCTATGTCATTGCGTAATTAGGGTTACCTTAATGTACATTTATTACCCAGTAAAAGGGAGTAATTATACTGCATGGTAACATTGAAAAATAAAACGATATAAAATTCTTACAAATATAATATATTAAATAAAAAGGTAAACAGTGCATAATAATTTGTATTAATGCTTGTGTTACTGATTGTTTTGATTTGTATTTGAATATAGATATAAAATACATCTCAGTGTCAAAATATTTTAAAATGACGACAATTTTAATTACGCGTGTATATAAATTTGTAAACAATACGTATTTATGTATTTTTATATCAGAAAAAATAATTCCCAATTCAAATTTAAAAAATCGACTTCAATTGGAAAATTTTATTTTAATTTACTTGTAACACTGAAAAAATAGCGCGTGTCTTTTGAATGATGTCTAATTTTGTTTAGGGACCAACCAAGATTTCGAAATAGGACCAACCACCTTTAAAAAAAATCAGTGTAAAGTAAGCTGTTTTTTAACACTTTATGTTCTATCAATATAATCTAAACTCAAAACTAGGTATTTTCTCTTAGTTATGCAGTTCAATACTATATACGTTTCCATGTTGTCTTAGTGTTGTCATTCTCAATGCCTTGCACAATTGTCAATACAATAATAATCAATGATCAATTAATCGATTGTCGTAATCATACAGAATAATTATGTTTGTTTGTAATATAATCAGCTTATTGACATTCCTTGATGACGATACTACTGATTAAATCGACCGTATATATGTAAAGTTTTCGCAATTAATTGTCTTATGTTGTTGGTTGAAAATAATTAAAAGCGGTATTTCGCAACACTTCAAAGTCTCAAAGGCATAAAACTATTGTTACTCTCTAGCCTTAAATGCTGATATTTTTTTTTACACCACTGAAGTAGCAAACAAGCATACGGCCCACTTGATGGTAAGTGGTTATCGTAGCCTATGAACACCTGCAATACCAGAAATAGTACGCGTGCGTTGCCGACCCTGAAGAAACCTCTTTACCTCCCTTTTGAAGAACTCCATGCTGTAGTTTCTTGGGAAAATCTCGACACGGAGCTCATTCCACAACCTGAGTATTCGTGGGAGAAAACATCTCTGAAATCGCACACTACGCGACCATTAAGACTGTAGGACATGAGGATGAACTCCCTGTCGATGGCGAGCCGTACGATATATATTATATTTTTGATTTTGGAAAATGAACTCTGTATCGTCACATATAAACAGAAATAAAAACGTTGATATTAGGAAGGATCAATTCTTAATAATCAATTAAGTATCATATTATTGAATATTAAGATATCTAATACTGTTTATATATGTATTGTATTGTATGTAATTTATGCATGTAAAATTTTTGTAAGTAATAGATACTATATATAGGGTGTCCTAGAAATCGACGTCAAGCAGAGATTGAATAACAAGCTAAGTTACAATATATTTATCAGAAAAAGTAAACAAAATCTAAGTTACATATTTTAAAGGTTACACAATTTAATATATATATATATATATATATATATATATATATATATATATATATATATATATATATATATATATATATATATATATATATATATATTGTTTTGTAATTCCAATTACTTCTTCTTTTAACTTTTAGCCTAAAATTTAAGTCAACTGCTCCCTCTTAAAAATAAATACCACTTTTTGGCCTACCATCATCATCTTCCTTCCCTTATCCAATTATTATTTGGGGGCGGCGTAATATGTCTTTTTTTCTTTCATTCTTCTCGTATCCATATTACAAAAAGAGTTAGCTTATAGTTTGATGACCGGCCACCTGTCTATCCTTAACCTTCTTTGGGATTTCATTTGTTGGTTGCATTTGTTGTTTGGGATTGCATTTGTTGGTTGTTTCCGCCACTTACAGTGTGGAGGAAAGGATTGACGAAAAAGGAAGGGAATAAGAGGAATAAGGAACTCACATCGGAAAAGAAAGGGGGACACTGCAGTTGCGAAAAGGACTCGAACACTGTAGCGGCTCGGGAAGCTGGGATCGTATACCCGTATGAATACTTAGACCAGTTTTAACTAAACATACTAAAAAAACATGCACTAGGCGAGTTTGAACATGCCACAGCCAAACTAGCCTGATTTTAATACATTAGATTTTTTTACTGGGGAGCGATACAAAAAGAGGCTTATTTAAAGCCAATTGAAAGTTAAGCTGATCTGCATTAACAGTTGTGTTTACATAGCTGTGTTTCGGTTTGAAGGATGGATATGGCAGTGAATTTATAGAGCAC